ATCGACTAGAGGGGTTGGTCGCCCTAGGGGCTCACCGGAGCTAGCTCGACGGTGGCCATGGCGGACGGCGGAGGTGCGCTGCGGCATCATTGCCGTCTCCGGCAATGCCGAGCTCACCTGAGCTCAGTTGAGGCTCCAGTGAATCCTAAGGAAGCTAGGGTTAGGGCTCAGGGCTACGGTGGAGCGGCGGTGTGACCCGGCTACGTGCGAGGTCGCTCTACGGTGAGAGCACGGCGGTGGGAAGCCATGTTCCGACGCCGACATGCCGGCACTGGCCCAAGGCCAGTGGCATGAGCGAGACCTACTGCTAAGCTACTCCTAATGAGAGAAGAGGGAGGGCGAGACCTACTGCTAAGCTACTCCTAATGAGAGAAGAAACACGGCTCAGCGGCGGCAACGGTGCGGAGGCTCTAGGGATATACCTGTGCTCTAGAGGCAATGCTAATGGCTCGGGGAAGTGGAGTGAGTCACGACGGAGCTACGTGTGAGACGAATCGAACGGCGGTGCTGCAGTGGTGGCGTGCTTGGCCGACGAAGGCGCGGCGGCGACGGTGCGGCGCTGCTACTTGCTTTGGTGTGCATGAGAGCGAGCAAGATGGGAGAGCGAGCGAGTGAGGGGATCGAGAGTGAGCAAGGACGTGCTGCACCCTCATCAGCGCGCGCCCGGCTGCAACGCGGCCCAGCTCCGGCGCACGAACGCCACAAGACGGCCATGGCCTGTGGCCGGTCGGCCACTGCTGCTGCTCGATCGGCCGGTTCAGACCGGCGAAGAGCCGACTGATAGAGCAACTTTGAGCCCTTTTATCTCCCAAACTAGTTTGAGTTAGTGAAAACTTCATTAATACGAAGTTTAGAGCTATATGAGATCTATAACTTTACTTAAGAAAGTGTGGTCTAATTCGAGCTGGTTTGCAAACTAAAAATCACCAAATTCAGCTACATGGAAACTGTAAGTCAGCCTAGGATTTAGAAAAAATTTCAAGTTTCAAAACAGCATCAAGTTGATTTTTGGAAGCCCTATTTGACCAACTTAGGCACTGACCCTTAAACAAAGTTTGTTCTACATGACCTAAACTAAAACTTTTATTGAGGTCCAACTGCCATGCAAGCTCTCTAAGTAATTAGTCAAGTTAGGTCAAACAATCAACTTAATAAAGGCATTTCTAGTAATACTAACACTTAGAAGCATTTTTGGACCAACTCTTGAATATAAACTTGGTTACATTTTTCATCCTAAGTGTGTCTAAGGTATTTTAGTGACCAAACAACAATCACTTGTATTAGCCAATCATGATCACAAGCATATACATGTATAATCAAGCATCACATGTGATAACATAGAGTGAATGAAATGAAATTTTCATATGCTAATGCTCATAAATGAATGGGTGATGCTTATGCTCATGCAAATGCAAGTGCAAAGTGCAAGCTTAACAATAGGGTGTTACATCCCCTCCCTCCTTATAGAAATCTCGTTTTGAGATTTGAATGACCTACCATTTTTCATAAAATGTGGGGTAAACTTCACGTAGATAATCCTCTCTTTCCCATGTTGAATCTTGCTCGCTGTGGTTATTCCACACCACTTTGTAGAACTTAATCACCTTGCTTCGAGTTACTGTTTCCATCTCTTCCAAGACTTGTATCAATTTTTCCTCGTAAGTTAAATTTGATTGAAGGTTAATATTGGTTGGTTCAATCACTTCATCAGGCACGTGAAGATATTTTCTCAGCTTAGAAACATGAAAGACATTAAAAATAGCTCTCATCTCTAGAGGTGACTGCAATTTGTAGGCCACTCTTCCACTTCGCTCAATAATTTTGTATGGGCCTACATACATAGGTGCAAGTTTTCTTTTTACACCAAACCGTTGTACTCCTTTCATTGGTGATACCTTCAGGTATACATAGTCACCTACCTCGAACTCAATATGTCTTCTTGTTTTGTCAGCATAGCTCTTTTGCCTAGATTGAACGGCTTTAATATGTTGTTGGATAATATGAACTTGCTTTTCAGCTTCCTCACTTTTCCTCACTTTTCTACTTAGGTTGCTGATTTTGGCCTTGCACATGCATCAAGAACTGGAGCTATCAACTTTGAAGCTGTGAACATGGATATACGAGGAACCCCAGGTGAGCTCTTGCAATGTGAACCAATCAGTTAGAGCAACTATAGAATGGAACAGTTTACATTCATGATCAATTAGTTGTCCTGAAAATCTACATAAGAAATGGAAACGGCTTTGATAGCTAATGCTAGATTGCAGCTTACGTGAAGAATAAGTACCCCCTGCTGCTATGACTTCAATACTTAAGTGAACACATCCAGAGATTGCTTATTCTGGAGATCGCTACAGAGGGGCTGAGGGAGGATCAAAGGGGGGACATTCAGAAAGCATGGCACACATTGGAGATAGTAGCTATGGAGGTCTTTGCCAAGAACGGGTGGTGATTTATTCATAGGAAACTGGTAGATGATTGAATACCAGGACCATAGTAATTGGAAAATCATTGCTGTCTAACTCTGATTAGTTTCACTTTAAAGGTGTGAGGAAGTTTCCTTCAGCTTGCTTGAAGAACAATAGCATTTTAAAAATTCACCCTGTTCTGAACATTTCTGTCAGGACAGCAATCTCATCCTTGGCTGGGTTTTCTTTGATGATCTAAAGAGGACAGACAAATTAGTGCTGCACGTGTAGTAGAAGCAGCGACAGCCATTCTTTAGGAACCCTTTGTTTGTGTAATTTCGTTTTGAATGAATCTGTTGAACTTGCCTCAAGTGCAGTCACCTGAATTTACAATTTGATTTACAGGAGCCATTTGGTGCATAAGGAGAATTCCTATAGCAGACAGTCTCCCTGTTCAGATCTGAAATTTGAGTTGTAAGCAAAGGTGAAATACATTGTTGAAGTGAATTCACTGACTACTAATTAACAAATACAGTGAATAAGAATGGTTGTGACATGCTCTAATTATGTCCGCTTTTTTTTTGAGTTCTGCACACACAAACAACACTTTAGTAGTCAAGTCTGAGTTTACTTATTGAACTGGAAAGGGACCGGTCGTTTGTGATATATATATGGTACTTGCATATTTTTTCCCAAGGGGATGCAGTTTTGGATTATGTAAAATGTCAATTGGTTTTGGATGAAGGAATAATGTGATGGGGTCAACAAACTGTTGTGGCTTAAAGCCGTTATTCCTTGCTCTACATAGAAGAGGCAGCCTGGTTTTCGAGAAAAAAAGAAGAAGATGCAGCCTGGGGCTATAATCTGGAAGAATAAGGGCTTGTCCTGAGGAGCACGCCTTGGCCAGACAGCTCCTCCAGGCCGTCAATTTCCAGCGCCTGTGGCTGGATCGACGTGCCTGGGTGGGAGCCCCTGGTCGAGGCTCGTTGATTTCCTTGTCACTCTGTATGAGTTGAGCTGGGCTGCAATGGCTCGGCCATTAATTTCTCAACAGTTTTGGCCTTGGGCATCTGCTTTATTGTAGCTACAACATTTATTACATCCTTCACTGTTTTTTGAATGATGATTTGTGCTTCTGTTCATCCTCTTGCAGCATCTGACAAGAGTAACTTCAACAACAGGCTGGTTATCACTTACTGAATGTGTTAACTTTGCAAAAGATAATGTTTTGGTGATATCGAATCGTAAAACAACATATCCAACGATTCAATTGGATTTAAGGTCAGCTGCTCCCCCCCCCCTGCATACCTTCACCTGTATGTGCCATATGGTATCAACCGAGGCCACATAACTTGTTATATACAATTTCTCAATGCAGGTTGTTTCCTTTAGACTGCTTTAAGCCATGTGTTAGCTCGACTGGTAGGATTATTTGCTGAGATTATATGAAAACTGCATGATGGGCCTATGCATAATGCATTGGGTCCTATGTTGGATTATTTGTAAAGATGAGTTACTGGGTTTTGAAATACAAAGATGTTTTTTATTTTGTGTAGTAACCTAATATGCCATTTATATTTGGTCATATGGATTGATTGAATATTGATGGATATAAAGTTACCTTAAAAAATAATAGGGAGGGAATCTAGCATAACATTTATATGAACCATCCATATCTTGATTTTGGTTTAGTTAGAATTCTCGGACAATACCAAATATCTTATGAATTTTTTTTTGGCTCCTGGTGCAAGGCACGGGCATAGACCTAGTCAATAAGAAAAGGGAAAGGAGCACATCAATGGGCCTAGAGCTTTCCCTTCAAATTTAAATGCAAGATATATGTAAGACAACCTGCTCCAGCCACCTTGTTGCTAGTACTAATGATATGGTTATTGCCCTTTTTGGAGTTTCGATTTTTTATGTTATGTGATGCAGTTACATGTATATTTTCATAATATGTGGGTCTTATTCAGGAAAATTTGTCTCTGGGCCTAACAAAGTGGCAGAAAGGGGTTCAGGAATTAGGATGCATCTGTTGAGCAATGCAAATCTAAAATGTGCAACTAGGTTTTGAATCGAGGTCAAAACATAGCTCCAGATAAATCATATATATAAAGGAGAATCGTAGTTTTATGTGGATTGCAGTTGGTATCATAGGACCATATATAATGAAGTTAGATGTACTTCTTACTGTGATCTTGTATGAGGCAGTAAGATGTGGAGCATCTCAGCCTTTTCTCTTAAAATCATTTTTGTTGGATAAGAAATAGATAGTGTCAGAAATTTGGTATGAATTTTTTCTAGGGTTTTTACTGACTGAGTTACTCCATAACAGCCCTAACTTCTTTTTATCCAATTTTGGCCTAGTAATTACAGGTTTTCAATGTGCACTGTTGCAATGCAGCTTTGGCAGTCAGTCTAGCCCTAGTTGCAGGTCTCCTGCACCATATTATTATATGCAAGGTTTAGGCTGTTAAGTGTACGAAGACCCATCTCCTATAGGCCCATATCCATATGATCCATGTGGCTCTCTCTGTATAGTCATCTCCACTACTTGAGTTACTATCATCTCAATTCTCCAAGATTAGTAACATGGTATCAAAGTCATGGATCAGAGCTAAGGTTAGAGCCAATCAAAATTTTTAACCATCACGGGTTCATCTGGTCATGCCTAATCCGTCGGCACGACTCTTCATCACACGAACCTGTCCGCTCCGCTCGCCCGTCTGCGATCCGCGAGTGTCGCCGTACCTTCGCCGAGCGCACAGTCCGCGGTCTCTGTTGTGCGAGCATCCGTGGTCTCCGTCGCGAAGCCCGTCCGCCGCTCAAGCTCCCTTCAATCCGTGGTCTACGTCGCGAAGCCCCTCGTGGCTTGGCTCCTTTCTTCAGGTTTGGCTGGACCCGTCCACGGCCTACCGACGCCCATCTACGACTCGGCTCCCTTCTGCCTCCATTGGCCCATCCGTCCACCCATGAGCTGCTCGTCCATCAGAGGAGGTGTTGCTCTTCTCTGCTTTTGCTCTGCTCTGCTGTGAGTAAGAGGAGGTGCTGTTGTTCACTGCTACTGGTCTGCTCTGCTCTGCTCTGCACTGCTGTTGCCTGTTGGTGGTGTGCTCTACTCTTCTGGTCTGCTCTGTGGTGCTACTTGTCTGCTCGTTTTCCGCCTTCTACTATTGATACTCGACAGATATCAGAATGTCGCAGCCCAACATTATTATTTTTCCTATGAAGCTTCATGGTCCATCTAATCATCGGGAATGGGCTTTTTCTGTCAAAATTATATTGCGAGGCCATGGGCTTGCCTCTCATTTGACAGGCGCTCCTCCAGTTGACAAGTCAGAAGGATGGTTCCAGGGCTGCTGCAGTCACAACTTGGACAAATGATGATGGACGTGTGATGAGTGCCATTGTCACCAGTATGAAGCCTTCTTTGATAATGAGTCTTGATCACCATGAGTCTGCTAAGGAAATGTGGGACTATCTGCAGGGGCGATATATTCAGAATAGTGGTACTTTTCTTACTTTGTTGCAAGGCCTTCACGAGCTTCAACAGAATGATATATCCATAGAGGAGTATTGCAACTATTTTGATCGTGTGATGGGACCTTTTCTCTCTATGGTTCCTAAGTGTGAGCAAGGTTGTTCAGGCTGCTGTGCTAAAAAGAACAAAGTTCATTGAGAAATTCCTTATATATCAGTTTTGTCATAGTTTAAGGCCTGATTTTGAGTCTATTCGTAAGCAGCTGCTGAATGCTCCCACTACTACATCTATTTGCTGACGTATTGTCTGCCTTGATTGCTGAGGAGACATGTCTTTGTTCTCTGTCATCTCCTCACAGTATTCTAGCAGCCTCTCAGAAGACCAACACAGTGAAGGGCAGCTCTTCTGAGCATTGTGAGCATTGCAAGAAGACTTCTCACTGTTCAAAAAATTGTTTTGCTCGTTATCCAGAGAAGCTAGCCGATTATCGTGCGCTGTGTGCAGCTCGTGGTCGTGCCGCAGGTTCTCCTTCTGAAGGCCCAGTTGATAAAGAACATGCATGGCATGGGAACTTGAAAAGAACGGAAATAAATGTGTAAAGAAAAGTATTCCTAGATATATGACAAGTGGCATTCGACTGGGCTGGCCCATGATATGATACAGGGAACCTGCATGTTGGGGTTGGGCTTTGTCTTGACATGTGTAAAGAGAGGATCATTTTAGTATTAGATATAGTTTTCCAGACATGTCACCGCATGGCACTACTAGAAGGCAGGTAATTTATTATATTTTTAGCCCAACTAAGGAATGTTTGATCCGATGACTAAAATTTAGAAGTGTTACGTGAGGGTGTCGCATGAGGTGTTAGGATACTAATAAAAAACAAATTACATAATCCGTCAGTACTCCACGAGACGAATTTATTAAGCTTAATTAATCCATCATTAGCACATGTTTACTGTAGCACTACACTGCCAAATCATGAACTAATTAGGCTTAAAAGATTCGTCTCGTAAATTAGTCGCAAGCTGTGCAATTAGTTTTGTAATTAGTCTATATTTAATACTTCATATATGTGTATAAACATCCGATGTGACAGCGACTAAAGTTTAGGAGGAAAAACCAAACACCCCCTAACCTCGTGAACCTGTGTGTTAGCGCAGTTTTATATAGAAAGACAAGGCTATAAATGGTATGATAGTTAACCTTGTGAGTGACCTTTAGGATGTTGTGTGGAAACAAATATCTTGCCAATCATGATGCAGTACTGTACGGTATCAATGATTATGGAAGTTGATAAGTATAAATTTATTGTTCTTTATTTTTATTGTACCTCTTTGTACTATTGTCGATGTCCTCAGGTGGTGGAGTGTGAAAGGTTGCACTAGTTTTGTTATGTGTTTACGAATTTGATATTATTATTACTACCTCTTGTATGGTTGTAATATTTTCACTATAAAGAACAGCCGTCTTCTCCTTATATATGATGGAAATATGCGCTAGTGCCAAATTTTGTTTTTATCACACTGTTCTAGGAAGGTTTTGTCTTCAAATTTATTGACATAATCGCAGATATATTTCGTTTAAATAAACAAGAATTTTTCATAGTCAGTTATTTAAGTTTTTCCATCTTGGTCAAACTTTACCTAGTGTATGTTTTGTGCTTGTAGTATAGTAAATGCTTTAACTGAATAGTTGTCTCGTTTCTTGCTTGATAGCATAAAACCAAGGGGATATGCTTTCAAATCAATCTGCTTTGTTGCTCCTTATGATGTTCTTCATGTATTTATGTAATTTTTTATGCTAATATTGGCAGCTGCTTTTAAGTGTCTAGTCAGTACTGCCAAGTAACTTTTAGCAAGTAGCCAGTCGATTTAAGCCCCCTTTAGCACGATTCATCCAAAACGGTTTCACCGGTGAAGCAAAAACCGATGAAGCCATAAAAACTGGTTTTTTTCGGCTTCTAGTTCATTTTAACCCCGGCTTACAAAACGGCTTCACGCTACAGTGCCTCGATTTACGTAAAATAGATGAAGCCGAAGCCAACATAAGTCGTGTCAAAGAGGCCTTTAATGTTGGCCCTTTGATCAGTTGTGTGATCCTTTTCTTTTCATCAAGTGTCGGTGTGTACTGTGGCAGATACTGCTGGTAATGGTGCCTTGTCTTGTGTTGAGGGGACTGCTTCGACTTTGTCTTGTTCATTCCTGGCATACTACACTGGAGATTCTTAACCATATTTTCTACCATGAGTTAGGCCCCATATTTTTTTCAAGTATATTATCTGTCGGTGATACCTCTGGTGCTGGGGTGTTAGTGATTTTTCACGCTCAGAGCACATTGTGCACTGAGTATACCTCAAGTCCCTGCTAGTACTGTGTCTATTAATTTCATTTCTGTTTTGCATTACTACTTTATGTTTTCTTTTTATCTCTCTCTGTGTAGCTATCATAGATACCCTAATGTATGTTTGGCTGTGCTTGCTTGCATTCCTCTCTTTTGTATCTTGACTTGTGAGCAATTGTTTGCCCGCCCTTGTCCTTGATGTCGACTTCTTACTTTCCCTACTTCCCGTATGCGCTCTCTTTCATTGATTCTGACATGCTACTTGAACACTATGGGATGCTGTATCGTGGGTCTTCCATTGTGCCACATTGCAACATCATTCGATCATCATGGACTCCTTTTTTTTAACATCTGTATTTTCTTAGTGATGTAGATATGTTTCTTTACTCATGAATAGTGCAGCTATTAAGGATCCTTTTACTTGCCTTTCCTTTTCCCTTTATTCTCTTTTCTCTAGGTTAGAAATATGTCAATATCTCAGTGGGAACCCAGATTTGCATCACTTATAAATGCTTGGGTTCAGTTATGCCAGCAGAAAGACAGTGATTACAACAAAATGAATATTTGAACTAAATAAATATGAATGAATTATATCTCAGGGTTTTGAAGTACAATTACATTTGGGTGTTACCTATAATCTACTATCCTTGGTGTTCTACTATTCTTTCTCAGTGAATTCTGTGGTGAGGATTAGATGTTAGGGAGGGGGAAAAAGGGAATCAGTGCCTGTGGGCAGTGAAATCTAATTACAATGTGAAAAGTTGGCTGTGTCTGTTGTTGCTCCGCTCTCCAGGTGCTAGCTTCTGCCATAATGCAGTGTCATAATCTGGTTTGTGCTTGGTGAACCGGGGGCCGGCAAAACCGCTGCAGCCTCAGCCGGCACTGGCCGCCAAATGGTGTCACGGACCTGCTGCAGGGTCATCGTCGGTTGAAGGCGCTGCCCGCGACAGGTAATCTCTAACTGCATTTCACAGAGAATGTTAATGAGGTTTGACTGTCAAGCATTCTTACTATCATTATGATTGCTGAAGCAGAGATTATGATATGACAACCACACAATATGCTATTATTATTTATGTATGAGCAAAATACTGGAATACACCTCCATTTTCTTTTTGTTCTAGTGGCATGTACAGTTATTGTACATGAGGAGAGAACAAGAATCAGTGCCAAACCACGTTTTGGGCAATTCAGCTGTGTAGTGCAAAAAGGAGAAACATTTCTCTCGGTTTCTGGAGCTGAATTCCAGTGTTTCAGGTCTAAATTGGAACTATTCCAAGGGGCCAAACGCACCCTTAGTATCTAACACCGTATCCATATCAAATACTCAAATCGGCTAACATGATATTGATATCTATTAGTATCTTATCCGACACCATTGACGTTATCCATATTTGAATCTAAATCTGAAAAAATAATGTACCTATTTGAATTTGTATCCTTCTAATATCCGTCCATATCTGATCGCTTTTACTCCTACCACGGGGAATATTGTAGTGACCGGATTTCTCCATCTATAGGGTTCCCAACCCCCTCGATCCAAACTGGGAGGTAGAGACAACATAAATTCTTGCCTCTGGGACAATGCTATACCATATATTTCTTTGCAAGCCCTTGGTGCAATGCTATACAATGTATTTTCCCGTTAAATTATTTACTAACAAATGACAGCCTAATAGCCAATGGGATGATAGAACCTAGAATCCTTGACATTACACTTAACCATGAAGCGACTAGCTCGCTTGTCACACGCGGTGGTGGAAAAGCAATGCAGGCATGCAGTTCAAGGCCTTAAAAAATCAGTGGCTGCGGCAGAGCCTGATCACCAGGTTTCACCAGAGCAAATGGCTGGAGAACAATCATTAGAAAAGGGCCCCAGCAGAAAGTACTCTCTTTATTACTGATGAAAGATGGGGCCCCTCCAATTGTGATTCTCCAGTTGCTGCCTAATTTTGACCCCACCTTTGTTCTCTCTTTTAAGGTTGGAAAAAGCACAAAGAAGAGCCAAATTATATTATACAGCACGCACAAAACGCTGAGCAAACTACTGTTTTAATTGCGATGCCTGTTGCCAAGTGAAACAGATGCATTCACCTAATCTTTGCTACATGTGTTATTGTTTAACGTGCTAATCATTCTCGCTTTTCTGCAGAGTGTTCACGTGTTTCTTGTGATGGCTTCAGTTAGCTCTGCTGCCCTGTTCACTTGAACTTATCAGCCTAGCTTATCAGTCATACTTATAGTGTTTTTCTCTCACAATAAATCAACGAATGGTAATTTTCAACCTTGCGCGAGTTATGAAACCGAAACATGTGGTGCTTTAGCTCATCTGCTGCTGACTGCCAGGCATCAGATGGTTGTGATCTACAAGAAACAGTGGCCCGTAGCATCATGGCCTCGATCTGGACTGAACGGCTGTTACGGGCCACTGTATTCTTTAGGAAACAAACAAAGGAGCAGGACACGACATGCCTAGTTGTTAGAATGTAAAGCTTATTTTCACATATTTTTATACGGATATGGACACACGGCGCTCACTAGTTGGGTGAAGGGTAGGCTGTACCTAGAGCTAACTAACTTAGGGTGGTTGGCTCTCTTGGATGGTCTATACATCCATGTAAGTGCTGACAAGTACGTACGGTGGCAGTGAAATTAATGTCACATGCATGCTTAACAACTACAGTGTTATAAGGATAATACAAAACATTATTTATGATGGTTATAGTGCAAGTTGTGGCAGGACAACTAGATGTCTTTTAAAACAAGCTACTGCATTCAGTCTCATAAGCTCTTAAGAGTATATTTGCATCATAGACTAACTAGTAGTTAAAAATTAGTTCTACTTCATCCACATG